CGAAAAAATTTAAAGTCAAAATTTTTGGGAGTACCGAGTAGTTCTGATCGGAGTTCTGGACAGTTCTCGGCTAGTTCTGTCGAAAAGTATTAGGGCTCAAAGCGATTGGACCAACGGTTTACGAGACATACTCACTTTAAAAATTGTTGATCTTCTGACAAATGTCGCTATATCTTGCAAACCGTTGGTCTAATCGCTTTTTCACCTTACAGTTTTCGATAGAACTCGTCGAGAACTATAAGAAACGCTACTCAGAACTACTCGGTACTCTCAAAAAATGTTTCGACGTGGGACCCCGAAAAAATTTAAAGTCAAAATTTTTTGGGAGTACCGAGTAGTTCTGATCGAAGTTCTGGACAGTTTTCGGCGAGTTCTGTCGAAAAGTATCAGGGCTCAAAGCGATTGGACCAATGATTTCCGAAATATACTTTAAAAATTGTTGATCTTCCGACAAATGTCGTTGTATCTTGCAAACCGTTGATCCAATCGCTTTCTCACCTTACAGTTTTCGATAGAACTCGTCGAGTACTATACGAAACGCTACTCAGAACTACTCGGTACTCTCAAAAAAATTTTCAAAGATTTCTACTATTTTTTTAAAACTTTTTTATATTTCAAAAGTGTTTTTTATATATCAAGAACTCTAGGTATTCACAAAATAGTTCTGTTAAGCTGATCAGAACTATGCGACCTTGAATTTCGTTAAAAAGTTAGCACCGCATTTTTAAAAAATGTAAAAAAATGTTTATTGAGCAGAACTCTTGTTATTAACTATAGGGAACTCTTCGTCTTGTCAAAAGGAAGTGGGAACTTTAATCGGAACTCCTGAGTACTATAGTTGGGGTGCTAACTTAACATACCCTATTTTTTGAGTTTCTGCTGTGAGTTCTAATCTTTGATAATTTTTACATATAAAAAATACAAGCTGAAAAAATGGGAAACTCACTGTGTAAGCCTATATAATGTACTAAAAATCAAATAGGAAAATACGTTTTACAATTGTTATAGAAAGATAATGAAAGGAATACATTGCACGGCGGAAACTCGGAGAATTCCTTTGATCTCAAGCCGATTTCGAGTTCGTCGACAGTCGCAGATTTTAACAATGAAAATTTTGGCAACAATATTACGTATACGTGGAGCGATGTAAATGTGTATCGCAGCGTGAAAAAAGACAGAATTTGGGATCGGCTGATGTTTAGGACCAAAAAATTCGTTGCGCAAAAACACATATTAAAAGACGGTAAAATAAAATGAAAAAAAGGCTTTTTGCCTATTTTTTTATACATGTGACAATTTTGCAAAATACATTATTCTAGTCTTTATTTTATTCTGGAAAAAAATCATTCTAGTGTACGGAGTAGCTTACCCTGGTGAATTATTCGTAATTATGGGTGCGTCAGGCGCAGGCAAGACCACCTTGTTGAACGCATTGACGTTTCGTTTAACAAACGGACTGTCTGCATCCGGTCTGATGGCCGCCAATGGCCAAAGGATATCACCGGGCATCCTTACCTCGAGGATGGCTTATGTGCAACAAGACGATTTATTTATTGGCACGCTTACCGTGACGGAACACCTAATGTTCCAAGCGGCAGTGCGAATGGATCGGCAGATTCCTCGTAATCAGAGAATTAAGCGAGTTAATGAAGTCATTGATGAGGTAATTTGATCATGTCGAATGTAACATCAGATATTGTTACTATAGATTTGTAAGCGAAAGATTCAAGATTTTTCACTTGCTAATTGTTTTTATTATTATATCTACACTTCAATCCTTATTACTGTATACATTCACTCCTAAAAATATATTAAAAATTTAGAAAAATTTAGAAAAATTTTTACATTTTAAAACAAACATATTGAACGGATTTTTTTACAATAGTTGTACAATAGATTTTTTACAAAGCTGTACGAAATTGATCAATTACGATCAAATGTGAGAAGAGAAATCAACTATGGTTAGTTAATTTCTTATGACTTATAAGACTTAAAATTTAAATAATGATTTATTGTAGAAAGCTTATGAAATAAAGAACACGCGCCAGAAAAACATTTTGTGAGCGTGTTTTTAATTAAAAATAAAATCTTTTACAATCAATATACCGCTCTGCTCACGTTTTTAATTTTTACCATTGACAGTATTCATCTTTTATAATTGTTTTCAGTTTGATCGGTGACAGCGGCTTCAATTTCTAAAATATCATCAAATTACTAAAGAAAATGTAATTTTACATCCAGTCTTCTCACGTGACTTGTCTTCTTCTGACTACTTCTTGTTTCCGAAATTGAAACTGTAGTTGAAAAATTAAAGATTGATTATGAATCACAACTTATATTTAATGGCGTCCCTTTTGAAAGTAGCTCGCCCTGTCGAAATGCCGAAATACAGTGATTGGAATATCCGGTAGGGTGAAGGGCCTCTCGGGAGGCGAGATGAAGAGATTGTCTTTCGCTTCCGAGGTACTGACCGATCCTCCATTGATGTTATGCGATGAGCCAACATCGGGTTTGGATTCCTTCATGGCTTATCAGGTTGTTTCCATTCTGAAAGCATTAGCGGGTAAGTTTGTGTCAAAAGATCCTTACGAGCAAAGCTATTCTTTAAAAGATTAATAGATAAATGAATCAACAGCACGTGGTAAAACGATCATCGTTACTTTACATCAACCATCTTCGGAGCTGTTCGCTCTGTTTGATAAGATTTTACTGATGGCCGAAGGAAGAGTTGCCTTCATAGGCACAGCTGCGCAAGCTTATACTTTCTTCAAAACGTAAGTTCATGAGTTAAAAAGTTTATTTTTAAGACATTTTAAATCCATATTTTGTCGCAGGCTCGGTGCTGCTTGTCCAAGCAATTACAATCCCGCTGACTTCTTTGTGCAAATGTTAGCCGTGGTACCAGGACGTGAGCAGACTTGTAAACACGCGATCGAAATGACATGCGATACCTTCCGGAGAAGCGAATACGGTGTAAATATCATTCTGAAGGCAGAGGTTGTCCACGGTGAATTAGAGGACACTCTCAAACGGTTCAACCATTTCAAGAACTCCAGATCGGTTTACAAAGCCAGCTGGTGTGAGCAATTTCGCGCGGTTTTATGGCGATCTTGGTTGTCGGTGATTAAAGAACCGATCCTCATTAAAGTCCGCTTCCTACAGACTATCGTACGTTTCACTCCCATATTAAATCTATTTGCAAAACTTAAAAGAAGATTAAACTATAGAGAGTTGCATATCGAAATTTGTAAAGATACATATGTATATATATTTGATTAATAAAATAATTTGTATTTTATAATCCTCTTTATGTTATCCTAGCACTGCTTATCTGCACGAATAATCGCGTCATCAACAAGCACAGAAAATAACAGAGACAATGAACAGTTAAGAAAGAATGAATTTAAATTTTTCTGCCGTAGATGGTCTCGCTGTTGATCGGCGTCATTTACTTCGGCCAACAAATAGATCAGGACGGCGTGATGAACATCAATGGCGCTCTATTCATTTTCCTTACCAATATGACTTTCCAGAATGTCTTCGCAGTCATTAACGTGAGACTTTAAGACGTAATGTATAAACAATTAAGTCGTATTTGCAATTCTATAACGGTGATCAAAAACAATACGAGGAAACGGTAAAACTAATATTCTATATATCATGTAGATTTCTACCACTGTAGATTATATTTAATCTTGGTTTATCATTCTTTTTTTAATTCTTAAGATTAAAAAAAGATAGAAAGTAAATTAAACAAGATTAAAAAATAATCTATGTTGGGAGAAATGAACATAAGAGAAAAATGTTACAACTCTTTTTCTAATTTTAATAGTAAATCTAATAATTAAAGTTAATAATAGTTCCTTATATATATATATATATATATATGTGTGTGTGTGTGTGTGTGTGTGTGTGTTGCGTACAGGTGTTCTGCGCTGAGTTGCCGATATTTCTGCGCGAACACAGAAACGGTATGTATCGTACCGATGTCTACTTCATCTGCAAGACGTTAGCAGAAACGCCGATATTTTTAGCGATACCGCTGATCTTCACTGCTATTGTTTATCCCATGATCGGCCTTTATCCAGACGTAAAACACTTCTTCATCGCTACTGCTGTAGTAGCTCTCGTAAGCAACGTGTCGACTTCATTCGGTAACCGAAAGCTTATGGCATAGAAGTATTCAGGATGATTTTTCGGGGAGAATTTTTATCAATTTTGTTATCACATAAACGGCAACGTTTTATGTTAATAAATCGATTTTTTGGACATTTTAGAGCTTAAATATCTCCTTCTCCTATTTGATTTCTAATAGAAATGTTAACTAACGGAAGTTTCAGAAATTATTTAGTCATAATGGACAATAAAATATTTTATAACAATAATCAATAACATAAAATATTTTATGTAACAAAAAATATTAATCAGAATAAAAAAAGTAGAGAGAATGATATTTTTTATAATTAAAAATAAAAATGAATTTTGTGAGTTTAAATCTTCCTAATTCTCTTCCTGGATACGCTTAAAAAACCACTAACATAGTATCATGTTTTTTTTAAATAATCGTTTAATGTTTTATTTCTGTTGCAGGCTATTTAATATCTTGTATCACCAACCGTATATCTGTGGCCCTCTCCGTTGGTCCCCCAGTTATAATTCCGTTCTTGCTTTTTGGCGGCTTTTTCCTAAATACAGCGTGAGTATTTCAAATTATTTTAAACAACAATGATCGAAACGCTGATTGAAATACTCGATTTTCATGTATAGATCCGTACCATCTTATTTCATGTGGTTTTCGTATTTATCTTGGTTTCGTTACGGCAATGAGGCACTTTTAATCAACCAATGGTCAGACGTCGATTCTATAGCGTGCACCAAAAGCAATGTGACATGTCCAAAATCGGGACGCATGATTCTCCAAACTTTCAATTTCAAAAAAGAGGACTTCTGGATGGATATTGTCTGCTTGTTTGCGCTTATCATCGCGTTCCGTTTTCTGGCATTTTTTGCGCTACTGTCAAAAACTTTCCGCTCAAAGTAGTTTTATATATCATCAGCGACGATTTGCTTTAATGCTGTGTGTACTTTTAATAAACAATTTTAATAAAATTCTTGTGTCTTACACTTGAGTGTCTCCGCCATCAAAAAAATATTCACAATAACTCAATATCACATTTATTGTATACGAAGTGTATCACAACACGGTGATAACTCCCTTTGATACCTCTGAATAATCAATTTATTTTTAAATTAAGAAAAAATTTAATAAGGCATAAATTAAACTTTTATGTAATTTTTCCACTAAAATATTGCTTTTTATATATGTGCAATTTCAAGTCTTTAAAGAGAATTGTCTATACATCTAGTTGCAAATTTGGAAATTTTCAAGCATGATTAAGTACAATTCATGAATGCCGTTGAAAATATCGATGTTGACGCGCGGTGACCACAAAAAGCCACGTAATAAGAACTTGAAAAAATCTGTCTTGACATAACGAAACAACGCGGTACAGCTACCACCTACATGTCGGCCGCATTTCCTGTATCTGGACTGACCATTCTTTCGTTCGCGTCTAGATATTATTACAAACCGGTTGCCATACATACCGTGCGACCGCACGTATAATATAGAGATATGATAAATAATCTCGGGAGATCTTCAGGTATGTCGTAGAAAAAAAAATAAAAAGTAGAGCACCAAGATTTATAGATGATATACAATATTACTCGCGATATTGTTGTCGGCCTACCAATTGAAGCTCGTGCAGGGATTGTCAGCATTCAGCTGGAAGTAGACAAGATGAAATAAGATACAAATGTGAGGGGAAAGGCCGTTATCGTCATAGGCAATGTTAAAAAGGAGTATGCAATAACTCCAATAGCGAAATAAGATCGGCCCGAACTGGCCACTCGTCTGTCTCGCTTGACGTACGTGTAGGGTTTCGGTTCTCGATTACCACAAGTCGCCTGAGTCACGAACACTTACTACAATGAGGAGGATATTTTTCAGAAGCGGGAGAAAATCTCGGGTGGGTGTCTATACGTTTACTTGACGCATCTGCGAATCGGCGAATGAACTATTGATTTGTAAGTGTCGAATTATTGCACTGCTCGATCATCGTACGCACGTGTGCCGACTTTGCAATAATTGCAATAATTTTAAGATAATTTTTAATATTAATAATAATTTAATGTGCCGTGATTATTATAATATTCAATGTCGGAGAAAAAAATAAAATGTGTGTGTCATAATGTAAGTTCTTTGCGATCGATAAACTTAGACGTCTTTCTAATATTCGTGCTTATACTGTGTTACTGCACGCGTGATATTTAGTTGTAAAGAAGAGTGCAGCATATAGGAGAAGTGCATCAGGTGTATCGAGTGGTAGACCAGTTACGTGCGCTGAGCAAACGCGACGCCTGCAAAAGTTGTGATTTTAGTGTCAATCTTTATTTTACGATATACCTCTTATCGGTTTCTCATCCTTTTACAGTCACGTAATTTGCACGAATCATTGTGCATTAGAAAATGTGCATTACAGAAAAAAATGGAGAAAAAACCAAATGAAATTTATTCGTTTTACGTTCTCATATCAAGTCCGAAACGTAATGGATGTTGAACTTGATGTACCACGACGTAGAATGTATCAAGAAGGAACGATGCTTTCTTGGCAAAACTTATCTATATATGCGATGGACCAGAATCGACGCACCATTAGCAAACAACTCATCAACAACGGTATTCAAACAAAATTTGATTAATAATATTAGTTCACATAACGTAAAATAAAACGGTGATGACATCTATCTTTCAGTCCGAGGTGTGGTACGACCTGGCGAACTCACTGCGATCTTAGGCGGCAGGTAAATTATCCGTAACCACTGCATAATTGTAAATACATAAATCAACTGATTCGTAATCAAAACAATTTTTTCTTATGTGACACTTTTAATATACGCTAAAAGATATTTTGTACTTGTTAAAATCGATCCTCATCGTTAAAATTTTTGTGTTGAATTTTTAACACAGCATGTAATATTGCAAAAATATTATAGAATATTACAAAATTACTGTAAATTATGTGGTAATATATAAATAATATTGCATAAATATTGCCGCAATATTGCGGTAATATTCTTACACTAATAAATAATATTAATTTTCAAAACTGTATTCGAGAAACGTGCTATTGCATTATTTAATCCTTGTTTTATATCTAATGAACGATACAAATATAATTAGACACAGCGTTAGATGTAAAATTTATTAATATAAAGATTTTTATATAAAACAAGACAATTTAATATAGACAACTTTTATTTTAAACATTTTTTCATTTCTTATGGTTTTAACAAAATTCTACGATATTCTTCGAAAGAAAAAAATTAATTTTTTTCTAAGGGATGTTTTACTTCTTAAAAATGTGATATCAAAAAAATCATGTCCTTTATTTTTATCTATAAAATAACATATTGAAAACTCATTAAAATTAAAAGGGCATACTTTTGGGTCTCTTCCTTTGTGAAACGAATAAAAAAATAAATAAAATATATGTTAATTAACATATCAAAAATGTTAATGTTACTATAAAAATATATTTCCATACAGTTTGCTTACTAATTATTTACATGTAATATTTGTAGTATTTTCTAACATATTCTGCATCTTGTATTAAATTAACATAAAAATTTGGCTGTTCGGGACATGTGAAATGTGTTAAATTTAACACAAATTTCCCAATTATGTAGCGGTGCTGGAAAAAGCTCGCTGATGACAGCCTTGGCATTTCGCGCAGAATGTAGGTAAAATTTTCATATAATTAAATTTTTGAAGAAGAAGAAGACATTCAAAACTTATTTTTACTTGGATCGGCAGCCGGCATCGTGGTACACGGTGATGTTCGCGCCAATGGCGTATCAACCGATTTTTCATATATGAGACGTCATAGCGGATTCATGTATCAGGAAGATGTGTTTATCGAGACTATGACGGTGCTCGAGCACATCTGGTTTATGGTGAGATAATTAAACTCAATATAGCTTGGTACCTAATATGGCCTACTTGCTGTTTGTAGATACTCAACCAAACACCAAGTACATGTAACAGCCTGCTGATTATAATTTCCTAATGTAACTGTAATATAATAACCCACGTTTCTTAAAAAACTGAGCAATTATAGTCGATTAGTCTTGACATTTAATTTTTCACATTCGACTGCGATTGATCAATTTCGTAAGCTTAAAGATTTAAAGCTTAGGTAATGACTGTTGCAGAAAACCTATTAGATCGCAGCAGCTACATTTCACATAGAACGTGGCTTTTCTGCATGGTTAGCCAATTTGTGTATAGAAGATAGTTGTAAAAAGCTATGTAGATAGGTCATATATTGAGTACATTTACTTTTAGTTTCGTTCTTCGAGTTCAGTCTAAACATTATGTGCGCTGCATCTTATGTCTTTAACAATCTCCATCAGGCCAGAATGAAATTAGATAGGAGAATCCACTCCTCAGATATTCGTCTCAGGATCGATCGTTTGCTGAGAGACGTTGGTCTGATTGACAGATGCGACACTCGAATCGGCGGCGGTGACGATGGCAAGGTTTTATCAGGTGGAGAAAAGAAAAGACTTGCTTTTGCCACTGAGGTGTGTATCCGCGTATTATTCTACTCTAGTAAATGCCTTGTGCAAATTTCCAGCTTTCTTTCTAGCTATTGACGGATCCCGAAATACTATTCCTGGACGAGCCAACAACCGGACAGGACGCGCATTCGGCTAGTGTCCTCGTGTCGCACATGGTTTCTTTTGCATTGCGGAACCGCACGGTTTTGTGCATCATACACCAACCGAGTTCCACTATTTTCAATAGCTTTCATCGTATTATCTTTTTAGCCGGTGGTAGAGTGGCATTTGCTGGTACCAGTATGCAAGCAATACAGTTTTTCTCCAGGTATACATTTCACAAAATATCAAATTTAAGAAGTAATTTTTAGAAATATTCGTAAATTAAAAATGGTACAAATTCATAAAAATATTTTGACATGAGAATTTTTTCTGTCAATCACTTTGAAAGAAGAAGCCTTATTCTGAATATACATATATTAGATTGATTCATTTACTGTCATTGCCGTTGTCATCCATAGTCAAGGCTACGAGTGTCCATGCAATTATAATCCGGCCGATTTCCTGATGGCGACTTTAGCAATCGCACCTAGTGACGCGGACGGTAGCGGAAAAATTGCACAGAAGATTTGCGACGCATTTCTCATGAGTGAAGCATGCAACGAGATCGATGTTATATTGCAACAGGAATTCGATCCTGCTTGTTTGCAGCGTCAAGTAAGCAGAATTGTTACGAAAACAAATGTTAATGGTTGTTTTAAAAAAAGTTAAACAGAAATTCATCCTTTTGTTTCAGACCAGAGAAAATATTCTCAAAACGCGAGCTTTGTAAGTATGTCTTACTAAAAAAAATTCGTTAACAATGCAAATACATCAAAAGTATTTAAAGTTGGTATTCATATAGTCCATATTTCAAGAACTTCTTAAGCAATATCTAAATATTAACATATAGGTCTGTGATTGGTTTAAAATATACATAATGTTTTGGTCAATCTACAACTATATATACAATTTACGTTCCATGACTTAGTTACGGTTATTTTTGTGCTTAAGCTCTAAGTGTCGTATTTTTTCGATAGAACAGTGATTTCGTCGAAATTCGAGCTTTACTTTAGGATTCCCTTAACAAAATTCGGTAACTGTAACTACGTTTATGATGTTATATCTAATTCAGCGTAGAATCGCGTTGCTGGTTGCGGCTCTACTGGCTAATCCATCGTGGATTTTTGCAAATTCTGCGGAATCCATCAGTACAATTAATCAGGATACTGCAAAAAGTGGTAAGTAAACAGTAGAACAAAGGCCAGACTCCGATCTTTGATCGGATAAATATGCATGCGACGAATCGATTGAATGACTTGTCGGAGTTATAATAACGGGTCGTGTTGTAGAGCATCGCAACGATTGCCGGTCTGTGTTTCGTAGGAGCTGTCCACCTTGATCAATTAGGCATTCAGGCCGTGGACGGTGTTATTTATCTCCTAGTATGTGAAAACGCATTCTTCCCCATGTACGCGACCTTAGCGTTGATTCCGCAAGAATTACCGCTTCTTCTTCGAGAGTACAAGGCGGGCATGTATTCCGTCCATCTTTACTATTTAGCGCGAATTATATCGCTGGTGAGCTCAATTTCTCAAATAATTTACCCTTAAAAATAAAACTCAGAACGTAAATCGAAGAAAAAAGAAGAATAACAAAAGAGTAAAGAAATTTTTGGGACACGTGAACAGCGAAACATGAAAGAAGTATTTTAAGAAATAAGTCTTCCAATAAAGCAAACTAAAGCTAGATATTTATGCTTCAAGTCTTAATCCTAAAATCCTAAAATTCAGTCAATAAAATCGTCAGTCCTAATCAAAATCTGTATTCTATTGGCTGAATTTTAATAGTATAAATTAGACGTAACTTTACTTAACTAGTAACATGACATCAAAATATTATAATTTTACACTCAATATAAATGTAATATCTAATAACATACAGTATATCTAACAGTTATATTGTTGAATGTGAAATTATAAGATTGATATCATTATGCGCGTTATTGTTAATTGGCGTTTACTGGGTTTCTTTATGTTTCATTGTTACGCTTTCTCAAAGTTTCGCTTTTGTCGTTTTCCCTTTATATTCGACTTACACTTTGATTTTTATTTTCGCTAAGAATATGCAGACACGATCCACATAATATATGCAGAAACTTGCAACGACATTGGTGCAATGTTTGCAATGTTAATGTACAGCAATATTGCTATAATACTGCTATAATGTTGCATTGCAATATTGATGTAATATTGATGAAATATGGAGAGAAGAATATTCGATTTGCGAGAATGTTAAAATTTTCAGATACCTGGACTGTTGATAGAACCGATACTGTTCACCGTAATAATATATTGGTTGGCTGGTTTACGTCCCGCGATGGATGCTCTTGGTCTGACCATCTTGGTAGTTATATTTACGATAAACGTGTCTACCGCTTGCGGTAAGTGTTTCCGTCCGTTCAAATAACATAATGGACGACAGACTTGCGTTCATTTATGAGCGTTCTCACATACTCCAGGATGTTTTTTCTCCGCTGTCTACCAGAGTGTGCCGCTGGCAATGGCATACCTGGTGCCCTTCGATTACATTCTTATGATAACCATGGGGCCTTTCATCAAGCTTAGGTATTTACGATTATATCATATGCAAGGAGGATACTAAGTACTCTAAAAAATTTTAAGAGTGACTTTTCACACAAATTCAAGATGAAAATTATGTATGACCATATGTTTGAATAGCTTATTATTTTTAAAGATACAGGGTGTCAAAATTGAAGAAAAAATTTTATTTTTTCCAAAATTTTCGAAAACCATTCGAAATTACTTTGATGAAACTTTAAATATATACACAAAGTTTGCATTATAGTGTAATTTTTTCTTCTTTTTATATCGCGGAACCTTTTAATTACTTTTATTGCACAATTATCAGCTCACTACCCGTATACGTACAACAATGGATAAGATACTTCTCATGGCTGTTACACTCCACGGAAGATCTCACCATTATCCAATGGAAAGGCGTACATAATATATGTGAGTTTCATTGAGCCTTGCTCATCTAAGAGATGCATAATGGATTTGTTTTCTGTAAATAGCCTGTGAAACAACCGAGCTACCTTGCTTCACCGAAGGCACCGAGGTGTTGGATCGCTACGACTTCGACGAAGGCAATTTCTGGCCTAACATTATCCTCATGGCTGCTATTTACGCCGTCTTCCATTTACTGGCATATGTCTTTCTGTTGAGACGATGTAGATCGAAATAAACGGATTTTAGTACTACCTGAGCAAACGTCATATATATGTGTTACATTTTATAATGCACCCCTGTAAAATCAAATATATCCCCATTGTTAAGGTCATTATTTGTACTCATATATACAAATCTTAATGAACATTTTTGTGGAATTCTTCAATGTAATTCAACATAATTTAAAAAAATTTCTATTTAAATTTCGGAATATGATTTTAGAATTTTTATATACATTATACCTATATATATGTATAATCTTTTAGAAAATTTTTCTCAGATTTTTTTATATATCTAAATTGAAGGGGCGGAATAAAAGTTTAATTACAAAATCTTGATTTTGATAAAAATTTAAATAACTTGTTACTTTTTTATTATACAATAAATGAGAATAATATTACATTTATAATAATGTACATTTATGTAATGCTTTGAGAAGTTACATGTATAATATTTCTCTATTATAATCAATATTTAAGTTGTCAGCTATTTCTCTTCCGTGAAGTGGGAGGAAAAGAAGGATTATGATTTGTTGATTCTCTAAAGCCGATTCTACATTAGTTGCAAGCCCCGATCGCAAGTTTGTTGCGACAGCCAATCTGAAGCGTTGATTTCAAAATGCAAGTTTGAGATTGGCTGTCGCAACGAACTTGCGATCGATTTATAACTAATGTAGAACCAGCTATGCGTCATGCATTAGGCTGGGTCCACAACCTCGCTTTAGGAGGCCGTAAAGCCGTAAGAAATTTACCAATCATAGTTTAATACAAGAAAAATAATTGACTGTGCGGCTTAGTTGCCTCGAACCCAAGCATTACTGTCTACACACTCCACCGTCCACATGGGTTATGATTTATTTGGAATAGAACTACGTATAATAGAGACATTTGTATGAGTAACTAATTTAATTTTTAATTCGATTTTAAATTTTCTGCACTCTCTATTGTACGGAATAGTGTCTGAACGCATGCGCAAAAGGTCAAACAGAGCATGAAGAAGACTAGAGACCCTATACAGAGGTTTCTATCTGCCCTATACCAGAGTCTGGACACGAGCGCGATTGTGGCAAAATGCTACGAGAGAGAAAGAGAGAGATATATGTATATATATATAATTACTATCTTCGTCTATTAATTCTAACCTTAATGTAATGTATATATTTGTATATTGGTCACGTTCAGCAGACTCAACTGTTGCGGAGCGGATCCGTGAGCGCTCACTGCTATTGGTATATTCTTTTAGATCATCCAATAGCAGCGAGCGTTCACGGATCCGCTCCGAGTTGCGCTGCTCCATATTGTAATAATTCAGCTGTCTCTCAAAAGATATACAATGAAAAGATTTCCTATAAAAATCCTGAACAAGTTATATATGTAAAAAATGTTAACCGAGAAGATTGAGTACCAACAAACAATTCACTTCTTTGCGAAGTTAGTACGTTTGAATTTTTTAAAATAAGATAAATAAAATATATTTTTAATATTAATATTATTAAAATAAGTATTTTTATTATGAATACCATTAATATCATTAGTATTTACGGACAGTACGTTTATAATTTTTATCATCAATATTTATAGATTTTCAAATATTTCAGTTACTCTAATAAGTTTTTAATAGCTTCCTATCTATAACAAAGGATTTAAAAAATGCTCTTTCTAGAAATCGTTTTTATTTTATTATAATTATGATCATATCTAAAATTATTTGTATTATACAGGTTCATTTTGCTCCAGAGATGTGGCAACAAAGAGCTGATGGTAAAAAAAAGTTAAAATCAGATTCCGACAATATTTGGTTCTTTGATCAAGAAGTAAAATAAATCAATAGAGGAAATGGACAATAATACGCAAATTATAGAATTTACTAATGATTCCAGAATTAATAATATTAAAAATAAGGAACAAGTTCGTAATAATATAATGCTACAGTTATTATACGAGGAAAGTAAATTTTAACATAACTTGTAAATAAATTTTTAGATTATTTTAATTGATAATACTGAGCCAGATATTTCATCGATACCATGTATTTCGCCTACAATGGAATCAAATAAAAGTGAAGTACAAATTTATAGCATCAATATAATACAGAATCTGTTGAATTAATCAATGATCATTTAATAAAGGATGTCCAAAATAAGAAACAACAGGTTTGTATAATTACAGTACCACAGGTATTATAAAAATACAGTTATTACATAAGGACAGTAGCGCGTTTACCTATAATGGACTTTTGGCTAAAGTCCTAGGATGATAAAATGTTATATTATTTATTTATTTATATTCTCATCTTTAATTTAATTTAGAAATTCTAAATATGTTTTAATAATTTAATAAAAAATATCGTGTAATATATGACTTTATTTACTGTGTAATTTTTAGTCCGCCCCGTAGAACTTCGTAAATTTCGTAAAAAAATTTTGAGATCTGATATATCTTCATTTATGTTTGTGTAATTTAATAAAATTCCGTGAGACTGTTTTTTAAAATAGCTAAAAAGTAGAGGTTTCAAGTTGTAAGATACCTTTTTAAAAATCTCGATACGACGATTTTTGACGAAGTAATTCTATTTTGAAATTTGCCTATTTTTGCAGAATAAAACAGGTGTTGCGTTAATTTTATTGGTCAGTGTATTTTCGAAATTCTATCATAAATAATAATATATATATAATAAAAAGAAATAATAATTACAAAATGGCTATCAATGTAAAAAATGGCAGCTGCTCTACCTGGGAAATGTATGAATGGATCAATACGCAATTAACAATCGCGGCAGTCATTATACACACACAGAGAGAGAGAGAGAGAGAGAGAGAGAGAGAGAAAATGAAAGTACATGCGCACTCCATTTTGACAAACATCAATCAAGAGGGTTGGCGCTGCTGCGTATGTACTGTGATCATTTGGTGCTGCCGCATACTATAGTGCACTTGTAATTTCGATAGCCTATTTTTTTCAGATTGTGCACGCAGTTTCCGCAAATTTTTGATGGTTTTGACAATTTGGTTTGCAAAAAAACTTGAATAAGATATGGAAGATTGATCGACATCAAGGTATACAGTACGTAAGTCCGGATCTACAATACGTGTTTTAAGCTTTAATCTTTAAGAAATTAACCAATTACAGTCGAATACGAGAAGAATCTATGACTATGACTTGTTCATTTCTCATGGTTTCAAGCTTAAAAACTTATTGTAGGTCCGGGCTTACTCAACGACACCTGACACTGACTGATACTATTTGTTCGATACTAAATGCAACATGAACGATTACGGAAATAAGTGCGATGAGTCCACAATTGCGTAGATGTGAGTAGATATTTTAACCTGTCACTTAATTAATGTAAGTACATTAACCAATGTTGATTTGTATTCACACATAAGAAGTCTCATTTATATTTGAAATTAAATCATCCACATATTTATAGCTATACGATACCTAGCCTAACTAACCTTACCCTAACGGCTGCCCGGGACTCGCAAAGATTTTTTACCCTTACCCCTGTCAATGCATGGATACACCGCTGGATATCTACTAGCTGCTACTAGCTACGCACTACTAGTACCACCACATTGCACATGCGCCAAAAGAGCATCTCTAGGAACACATTAACCTTGCAGACTCCTGTTCTCGTCAGATGTAATATGTCACAGTGAGACAGTTAATCGACTGAATTAAAGCAACGTGAAAACATAAGCGAAACTTTACAGAAGGTTGGCTTACTGATGATCGATATAAATTATGAATACGTAAAGTACCATTGAATAGTGGTCAACTCATATCATGAAACATGAATTCTACATATAATAAAAATAATACTGAGAAGAATTTATCATCATCTAATGATGAAAGTAACGCACACACAAATAGACGTAAAAGTAGTTCTGCTGAAATAAGTGAATCAAATAAACATGTAAATGTTAAAATTAATAAAACGTTTAAGGTGAGGTTTAGTGATCGTAGAAAAGAAGCAGAGATCAGATATGTCGCATTACTCATCGATCAAAATATTCCTTGTAAACATTCGACTGAAATACTTAAGTTATTTGAACATGTAGGAGAAGGTCCTAACGTAATAAAAAAGATGCGCATGGGTAAAAAAAAGTGCACACAGATTATTACGAACATTTTATATCCAATTGAAATAAAACGTTTTATTAACAAGATTAAGAATACCAAATTTACAGTATTTATATGCACCAAATCTGATACTTATGAAGATAATAATAAAGTGATAGCTCTTCAAGTTCGATATGTTGACTCAGAAACATTAGATGTACGTTCACAATTAGTTGATTTAATGAGTATCGATGCCAAAAATTTTTGTGAAAACAAATTGTTTGAAACACTTCAAAATAAAATGTTGGAATTAAATATTCCACTTTCAAACATTGTTGCCTTGTTATGCAACACCGAGTCTGTCGTAACAGGGAATCATTCATTTAGAGAGAAATTTAAAAAATTATGTCATCCACATTTAATGACGTTTTTATGTTCTTGTCATTCTACCGCATTAATAACGTATAATGCGTGCGATAAATTACCCAGATTTTGCGAAAATTTGGTAAATAGTGTTTGTACTTATATAATTAAACATCCGGAATATTCTGACCTTAAGGAGTTGTATGAATATTTCCAAGAAATAAATAATAAAATGTTAAAGTATGATATATATTGGCTTTCTCACTATATTTGTGTGGAAAAATTTGTGAAATATTGGAATGCGATCCAAATTTTTCTACAAACAACTGTGAGAACACGATCTGCAAATAATGTATTATTTATAATGAGCATTATAGAAATAAAAGCTTATTTTCTTTTTTTAAAATACGTTTTAAATTTCTTTAACGCATTTAATATATTTTTCGAAACATTAGAAACACGAATTTATTTATTGCAATCAAAATCTTTAATTCTTCTTCAACAAATTTGTCAAAATTTTTTAAAGACTGAGCATTTAACATCTTCATTATTAGACATAGATTTCTCTTTAGAAGAGAATCACAAAATTCTGAATGAAATTTGTTTAGGATCAGAATGTGAGGAATACCTTAATGAATTAGTAAGGCAAGAACATGAGAACGTAGTTGTAACTGTCCGGCAGAACTGTTTGATGTTTTATGTAACTGCTGCAAATGAAATTTGTGAAAAGTTACCTGTGGAAGATATATTTTTATCAAAGTTACAAGTTTTCAAAAATTTATTTGAGACTGATATAGAAACGTCATTCAGTGATGTTTCTTTTATAGTTAAAACTATTGGCGGTTTTGATGAAGATGCTTTAAAGAAGGAATGGACTGCTTTGTCATTAGAGTTTACAATAGAGGAGAAACGACGACTTACTTCATTAAGTTTCGATAATATGTGGAAAGAAATTTTGCAACGTCGGTATCCAAATAATATTGCTAAATATCCACATTTAACAAATGTTTTAAATGCTATTCGATCATTTCCAAATTCAGATGCCGATATGGAAAAAACATTTTCTTCTAATATAGAATATGTTTTAAGGAATCATTGCCGCACTGCACCGGCTACGATTAATGCCATGTGCGTTTTTAAATCAGCGTTAACTGCGAGAGGAGAAACTTCCTTAAGCATGACTATTGAGAAAGAGCATTTGTCTCTTATGACTACAGATAGATTATATCCTTATTTACGTAAAGAATAAAATACGTAGGACATATAATCACAAAGAGTTCAAGATAACATCCGGTGATAGTCATTTTATAAAAATTATAATGATGTCATGTGATAAACTTTGATTATGGTTTTGTGATAAATTCTTAATATAAAAATAATGTTTTAACTATGTATATGGAATTATTATGTATAGAAAAAGAAATTGCGATTATGTCAAAATTATATAAAAATGATATTACAAGGAAATGATCCAATTAAAATGAAAATTTAAGTATATTTTTCTACTGCTTTTAACATTATAATTTATGTCATTGTAAAAAAAACAGTCGCATTCAGTAAAACATTTATTTTGCGACTATTAACAGTTTTCTTTGCTGAAATAAAGCAATTATTTCGTTAGATTTAAAAGTAACAATTCTTAGCAAAGAAAATTTCTAATAAATGTAAAATAAACATTTTCCTGAATACGGCCATTACATTTTCATTGAAATTTATATAATTTATTGCCAAAAAATAATAGTATATAATTGAGTGTTATGTGTTATTTATATAACTATATCATAAGAACTTATATGTGATACACAATAGAAAATAAAATCTTCAATACATAAATGTCATTATATGTATTACTAAAATCTTGTAATAATTAACTTTGATGTTGATAAATAGAAAACAGAATGTCTAATCACTTTATCCGAATTTGCTAAGTAACACAGTGAACTTTCCATCAAGAGACACAGATAAGAGACAGCAATATAATGGTGTGATACGGTGTGATGAAGAATAAAATCATACCTCGTGCTCTTTATATGTAATTCGAAACGCACCTAATGATTAAAGTATATCTACCACTTATCAGTTCTTGCAATTTTTTTAGATTTCTAGTTAATATAGCAGAATGTCTAAAATCGGCACATAAAACAAATATTTAAAATATTTTTAAGAGGTCTTTAAGAAACATCTTTAAGATATTTCATAAAAACTCTGAAAAATATTTTAAAGTTATCTTATGCATTGATTTTATCTTATTCAGCAATTTTTAGAAATTATTAATATTTCGTTAATTATCGTGAAAATTGTAAAATGATACATACAAGTTTTCGACTTAGTTTTCGACACATTGCAATAACAAATTGTCATTTTATTTCATCATGTTTTACAAATATTAATGATATTATTACAATACAATAAATGTGTCAATTAATTAAAATAACTCTTAAAAAGTATCGAATGATGGAACGTAATCTAATCCAATAATCTAATCCATTCGAGTTACTAGGAGAATCATCTAAATATATTGCATTTTCTGACTATTAAACTGACTAAAACATTTTCATATGCGCAATTTTTATATGAATGTTCCACAGAACTATTGCAGCACAAATGATAACACAATAGAAATAATTAACTTATTTAAAAATCCTTTTTATAAACAAAAATATTTTCTTTTCCTCCGACTAAATGTTCTTTCTATATAATTTTTTTTTTTTAAATAACTTTTGTCATAGTTATGTTCTGCCTAGTTAAGTGATTGTAAAACTGGTGTAATACTTTACAATACACATAATACAGACAAGCTATAGAATAGAATATACTCTCTGTATCGTCATATAAATATACTTATTTATGTAATTTAGCGTAATTTAAATATGTGTTATGACAAATTATTAATATTTTCTAGAAGTGCTACATTACTTATTCTTTCTCTTATATTTTGCGCTTTGTATCATTGATGGTATTTGAATAATAAAATGTTTAATAAACTATTAAACGTTGAGTGTATCTCTGACTTGCGTTATTGTAGTTATCCGGGTAATACATTTTTGGATAATAAATTTTTCAAATTTCATCATAATTAATAATAAAAATGATAAGAATCACATCATGTCAATAATTCAAAATGACTGCATTCAGCAGACTTAACAGTTTTACAACTGTTTTATGATTCTTCGCTGAGATAGGACTATTCATTTAGACCTAAAAGTATAATCCAATCAGCGAGACGAATCGTAAAATGGTTGCAAAACTGTTGAATCTGCTGAACACAGCCAATGTCAAAAATGATGGCAGCTTGCCATCTGGGAAACATTCGATCAATAATCCATAACCGTCATTATAATACAGAGAGAGCAACGAAGACAGGCAAAATAAAGTACATGCGCACTCCATTTTGACGAATATAAATTAAGAGAGTTGCGCTCTGTGATCGCATTTGGTGTTGCTGCATATTATATTGTACGCTTACGATTTCGACAGCTTATTTTCTCCGAATTGTGCATGCAGTTTAGACAAACTTTTTATGGGTTATAACATTTTTATTTACTCTTAAAAAAACTTGAACAAGATATAAAATTTGGACATCAATGTATAACACGTAAGTTCGAATCTGTAATAGATGTCAAGGAGACCGCACACATTCTCTATAACAGTAGTTGTAAGACGTACCGTAAATATGAGCCAATCAGAGTTGAAAGTTTTCAAAAATTCTTGACTGTTATTAGCTAATTCTTATGGCATGTCTTACGTTTACTGTCTTCTTTAAGCTTTAAGCCGTAAGAAATTAACCATTTACAGTCAAAAAAATGAGAGGAGAATAATTGACTATGATTCGTTCATTTCTTATTGTGATTTAAGGATCAAAAACCTATTCTAGGTCTGGACTTATTCAGCGATACTTGATACTATTTATTTGGTACTAATCGCAACATCAATGACTACACAAATAACTGCGATGAGACCACAATTATACGTAGGACCTGAGGAAACATCCCAATCTGTCAATTATTAATGTAAGTTCAATGTTGATTATTTGCATATACATATAAGGAAGTCTCATTTATATTTGAAATTAAATTATTCACGTATTTGTAGCTATATTACTTAGCCTAACTAACCTTACTCTAACGGCTGCCTGGAGCTCGCCAAACCCTTACCCCTATCAATACATGGATACACCTGACACCGCTGGATTTCTACTAGTTGCTACTAACTACGCGCTACTAGTACCACTACATTGTACATACGCAAAAAACGCGTCTCTAGGAACACATTAACCTTGCAGACTCCTGTTCTCGTCAGTCGTGATATGTTACAGTAAGGCAGTCAGTTGATTGTATTAAAGCATTCTTTACATCAAAACATAAGCAAAACTTTATGGAAGATTGGTTTGCTAATGATCGATATAAATTATGAATATATTGCAAAGTATTATTGGATAGTAATTTTTAATGCTGTGAATGAAACAGAAAATTGTCAAAACATATTATAAAATATGAATTCTTACAGTAAAAATAATACTGCAAAAACTTTATTATTATCGAATGATAGAAGTAATGCATGTATAAATAGATCTAAAACTCGTTCTACTATAATAAGAAAATCAAATAAAGATTTAAATATTCAAATTAATAAACCATATTTGACGTCAAACGACCGTAAAATAATAGCATATATCAAATATGCCGCAGTACTCACCGATAAAAATATTTCTCGTAGAAATTCACGCGAGATGATTAATAACTTATTTGAACACGCAGAAGGAGTTCCTAACGAAGCAAAAAAAATGTATATGAATAAAAAAAAATACACACACATTATTAAAAATGTTTTATATCCAATTGAAATGAACCGTCTCGTTAACAAGATTAAGAATACCAAATTTATAGTATTTATAGGTGTGACATCTAACAATTGTGGATATAATAAGAAAATGATGGCTCTTCAAGTTCGTTACGTTGATTCAGAAACATTAAATATACGTTCGCAATTAGTTGAATTAATTAGTATCCATGCCAAAGATTTCAGTGCAAACGAATTGTTTGAAAGATTTAAAAATAAAATGTTGGAATTAAATATTCCACTTTCAAACATTGTTGCCTTGTTATGCAACGAGTCTGTTGTGACAGAGAATCATTCATTTAGAGAGAAATTAGAAAAATTATCTCCACATTTAATGACGTTTTTATGTTCTTGCCATTCTATCTCATTAGTAGCTTCTAATGCATGCGACAAAATACCCAAATTATGTGAAAACTTGATAAAAAATGTTTTTACTTATATAATTAAACATCGGGAAGGTTTATTTGCATTTAAGGAATTTCGTGAATGTATCCAAGAAACAAATAATAAAATATTAAAGCACGATACATATTGGCTTTCTCGCTATATTTGTGTGGAAAAATTTTTGAAATATTGGGATGCGATCAAAATTTTTTTAGAAACAACTGTGAGAACACGATCTGCAAATAATGTATTATTTATAATGAGCATTATAGAAATAAAAGCTTATTTTCTTTTTTTAAAATACGTTTTAAATTTCTTTAATGCATTTAATATATTTTTTGAAACATTAGAAACGCGAATTCATTTATTGCAATCGAGATCTTTAAAACTTCTTCAACAAGTTTGTCAAAATTTTTTAAAAACTGAGTATTTAACATCTTCATTATCAGACGTAGACTTCTCTTTAGAGGAGAATCAAAAAATTCTGAATGAAATTTTTTTAGGATCAGAATGTGAGGAATACCTTAATGAATTAGTAAGGCAAGAACATGAGAACGTAGTTGTGGCTGTCCGAGAGAACTGTTTGATGTTCTATGTAACTGCTGCAAAAGAAATTTGTGAAAGGTTACCTGTGAAAAATGTATTTTTATCAAAATTACAAGTTTTCCAAAATTTATTTGAAACGGATGTAGAAACGTCATTCAGTGATGTTTCTTTTATAGTTAAAACTATTGGTGATTTTGACGAAGATGCTTTAAAGAAGGAATGGACTGCTTTATCATTAGAGTTTACAATAGAGGAGAAACGGCGACTTACTTCATTAAATTTCGATAATATGTGGAAAGAAATTTTGCAATGTCGACATCCAAATAATATTGCTAAATACCCACATTTAACAAATGTTTTAAACGCTATTCGATCATTTCCAAATTTAAATATCGATATGGAAAAAACATTTTCTTTATTAAATTCTGTAAGGAAAAGTTCTAACTTTTTATCGACTTTGACTAATGCCATTTGTGTTTTTCAGTCAGCGTTAAATGCAAGAGGAAAAACTCCCTTAAACATGGCTATTGAGAAAGAGCATTTGTCTCTTATGTCTTCGATGTCCTTATAGATGCTCTCTCATTGATGTAAAGTATAAAAAATACGTAGAACATATAATATAATCATAAAAAGGTTAGGAAAACGTTCAGTAATATAATTGTTTTATACAAATCATAATTACGTCATGTGATACACTTTTGATTATGATTTTGTGATACATTTTTAATATGGAAATAATTTTTTAATTATATGTATGTAGAATTATGTATAAAAAAACAAATCGCGATTATATCAAAATTATATAAAAATAATGTTAAAAAAATAATGAAATGATCTCTAATTATGATCAAAATTTAAATATACTTTTTTAAATCAATACAATAAGGAATAATTGCCATTAAGAGCCGACACAAGTTAAACGTATGTAATTCAATTTAATAAAATACAATATAAATAAATGTTTCGACCCTATATTTGGGTCCTTATCAATATAGATAAAAATATTAACATAATAATCGCAAAATCAAGATGTTGTTCCAAATGTCAATTCTTATTCATCTAAATGTATAAATTCAACTAAAAAATTTTTTAAAAAACGATGTTTATGGGATGTTATAATAGTCTAACTTTTTAATAATATTAAAAAGACTCACATGATTGTCAAGAATTGATTGTGTTGATAACAATCTTAAATTTAATTATTGCAAAGCTTCATTAAACTGCTCAGTAAACTAAAAGACAATCAAAACAAAAATTAAAAATCAATATATTAAATACTATGAAATCAAAATCAATTTAATATTTATATGAAAATTTTATAAATTATATAATGCAAGATGTTGTTACTTCAAGATTAAAATATAAAGTGATCAAAAGGTGAGCAGTATAATAGAAACTTGTACACAATGTCAAAAAGAATAAACAATAAACATTTCTAATTAAAAGAGTGAAAGAACGCAAATTAAACATATTTTTTTACTCTTTTTGATATCATTTTATGTCATTGTAACGGTCACATTTGGCGAAACATTTATTTTGCGACTATTAAATGTTTTGTTTGCTATAGGATAAAGCATAATTATTTCATTAAATTTAAAAATGTAATCTTTAACCAAGAAAACTTCCAACAAATGTAAAATATACATTCTCCTGAATATGCCCATTATATTTTGCTCAAAATTTACATAATTTATGTATGTACTAAAAAATAAGATGGTCTATATACAATTGGATGTTATATACTTTTTATGTGATTGTAATCTAAGAATTTTGCTTGTGTGTGGCAATACAAAATAAAACCCATGGCACATACAAAAACGTAAGACAATAGATCTGTTTTTTGTGGCTGAACTAGTGTACACTTTTGGAACTTAAAAGGCATATTATATGTTTGTTATTTATTGAAAGCGTGAAAGAGAGTTCTATAGTGCAGTCTAGTGCAGAAAACAGATCAAATAAGACAAAAGTAATAATAATAAGAAAACTGTCTATGATTTGCCAATTCTCTTATTGTTACATTTTACGGTTTTACGTTTTTCTATGTGCCATATGGGCTTAAATCTTCATCAATGCATAAATGTCATTACTGTATTACAAAAATCTTGTAATAATAAACTTTAATATTAAATAAAAAGAAAATTAAAAAAAAAACAGAATGTTTAATCATTTAACCCGAATTTGCACAAAGTACAACATGCGGCATTCAAATAATATGATACGTATCAAATCTTATAATATATAAAGATATTTGATCAATGTGTTGCATTTTATTGGAAGAACTATAAACACAATCGTTTCTTTTAATTGCATTTACGGATGGAAAAATCCTTCTGTATAATTAAAGTATCGACAACAATGAATTGTGCTACATTTCAATACGAAAAACGGAAGAAAATTAAAAACTTACAGTTTCGTTATCGGCTTCTGTGATTTTCGATAACGAAAACTGTAAATTTTTTTTCCGTTTTTCGTATTCAAATGTAGCTAGCGCAATTCATTGTTGTCGATACTTTAATTATGCAGAAGGATTTTTCCATCCATAAATGCAATTAAGAGAAACGAGTCTTTAACTAAGTAAGTAATGATAAAACAGGTGGGTCCAGCATCACCTTAAGCCCATTCTTCGTTAGTTTGTTTGTCTAACGGAGCGATAATCATGGACATAGAGAAGATTCGAACCAAAAAATCGTGAACATTACCGACACGATCGTGGACATTGGCTACATAGTTCAATGTCCACGTTTTGTGGACATAGAGGCGCTTCGCTCATCGCGCCTACTGTGAAATGTGAACTAGGTATCAAGCTTCTCTCGGTTTGCAGTTCTATGAAATTCGATGTGTCGCTACGCTCCCTGACGGGAGAAATTGGAATTAGCGCGAGTAGGTAAAGGCCATCATGGGCCTTCTACAATAAGCCAGAAGTCATAAATCGGAAGTAAGAAACTAAAAATTGACGACTGTGATTGGTCCATTTCTAGCTTATGACTTATGATTTGTGACTTACGGCTTATTGTAGAAGGCCCATCACACGTACAAAAATTTTAGTAGAATCGTAAGGTCTTAAGCAAATTGGCCAATCACAGTTTAGCGTATGAAAATGTGAGATCGTAATCTTGATTGTGATTGGTCGATTTGCTTAAGACCTTACGATCCTACTAAAATTTTTGTACGTGTGATGGCCTTAACTTTCTCCTAAAAGACAAGATCCTATTGGTTATGTTACCTACTCGTAGTAGTTCGATCGGTGGCGCTAAATGAAGACTCCATCGAATTTTCCCAATTGCGCACCATGTGATTTCAACCTTAAGACCACAGCACACACTTTTGCATGACGCATAATAGAATCAACAAATCATAATCCTTTTTTTCCTCCCACTTCATGGAAGAGAAGCATTTTGATTGGTTGATTCTCTTATGCGTTATGTATAAAGCCCATTCTACAATGGGCAGTGGCAATAGTCGATTAAGGAATTGGTGTAGAAAGTAACAAATTATAGTCGAATGTGTGGAGGATAATTAACTATCGTTGGTCGATTTCGACGCCTATTCCTTAATCCACTACTGCTACTGCCTATTATAGAATGGGCTTAAGTTTATTTTCTAATATGATTGATTATATACATTTAGATGGGGCGAACAATTACATCAAAGAACTTTATATAGTTGCAAACTTACCTTTTCTACTGAGCGCAGCCAATAGGAACACTAGTGAGAAGAAGCGGGGTAGATAACTGATATTTTGCGCTGGGGGAGCAACGTTCTCGCTTCTCGGCTGCGCCGCGCAACGCGATCTGCGCACCGCGCATTCGGACTCCGAGTTCGGAGACTTCGGTGCGTTCGGAGTAATCGGAGTGAGTCCAGTCTGGCCATGTTATTAACGCGATCGTCTCACACGTCGTCGTTAATAAATCATAGTGCCGAAAAGGTAGTCGCGCGTCCCGTGTGACGTTAGTTTTCACCACGACGACGGTGCCGTCTTTCCGGGATACGAGAGAATGTTTGTAAAGCCACGGAGCCCATGGTTAGCTGCGTCATGTGCGTTTCTCTAGTGTCACAGAATTGAGGACTCCCTCTTCCCTCGCTTGTCCCCTCTAACCCCCTCCCCCTCCTCCCCCTCCCCTTAACTTGTGTCGAAGTACTTTGACGGAAGAGCGAGAGAGAGAGAGAGAGAGAGAGAGAGAGAGAGAGAGAGAGAGAGAGAGAGAGAGAAGAAGCAGATCGACAAGAAGAGCAGGAAGAATCCACGCTATAATGCATCCTGGAACGGCGGCCCGTCGCCGATGCGTCGTCGAACGCTGTCGGACGTTTCTCCGATCGCGCGAGGCTACGTCATCAGTCTTTCAACGCAACATCGTCGGACGCGGATGAGAAGAGGCGCCCCGCGTCTTCGTGGGCCAGCGGAGGCGCTGCGAACAGCTACGAATAGCGCGTGATATACCCTGCGCGAGGTACGTTACATTGCGTTACATACAGTTACATGCAAGGAAAGAAGCCTGGCCTGATGAGCGCTGTGAGCGGCCCCTCGAACGTAATTCACTTCTCGCCTCAGGGCTCTCTCCGTTCCCCGCTTTCTGTCCCGTCCGCACATTTTGCATTAATCCTTTACGGACCCTCTGGCACCCAGTTGCACTGCGCGTCTGTCGTACCGGTGCGGCGCGGCGCGGCGCGGCGCGGTGCAAGTACGGCATACTCCGTTTTCGCAAACGTTACCCTGCGTCTAGGATTAAGCCCGTGTCACGTTACACATTAGTTCGAGTCTACAATAAGTCGGCAGTTTGTATAAGTTAAGGTTTGTTTTTTATTTCTGCACTACATGCATTCCTAGTACATTGCATTAACACTTTTTCTTGCTTTCGTAAATATTAAATATATACTCTCACTTTAAATTCTAAAAGTATACACTAGGTCAGCCACAAAAAAAAAACAGATCCTTAGGCCCAGTTTCACAATTTACGATTAACTGTTATTTCTCATCTCTTTCTAATTCTAGAATTAAGGATTAAGATAAATCTCGGTTAAGAGTTAATTGTGAAACTGTGAGCTTTAGTGATTCTGAAGGATAATCGGTTTAGTTGGGATTGATCGAAATCGGTAAATTAGTAGAGTTGACCAGCAGCCGATTTCTAAGACTACCGACTCGTAGACTCAGACTTAGAGATTGAGGAGATTACAAAATGAAGATTAGAATTCCACCAGTTAAATAATCTTAATTTTTAATCCGTGTTGTTCTAATTGGCTGAATTCTTATCTTCGATTTGTAATCTGTAATGCGTAGTATAACATGGGCTTTAGCGCATTTTGCTCCGAAATCGAAGATTGCGGCTTGCGATTCCTCGCTCCAAAATGCCATCAAAATCCAGATTCCCGATCTATATTCCGTTTCCCATCGTCAACAATATGAAAAGAAAGAATCCCTGGTTTCCGATTTTTCAAGGAACATGACTCTTTTATCCTGCAAGCGATTAATGAAGAAGACGCGCGTTTAACATTTTGTAAGTTGAAAAAATAAGATAGCCGAACAGTTTTCTAGGAAAAATAATTTTTATGCTCTAAATATATCGGTATAGAGATTTATAATTTTATATTAACACCAACATGATGTGGATTTTAAATAACATCATGGGTTTTAAATCCATACTATGATGATGTGATATAAATATAAGATGTTTGTAAATTCACATCATGTTAATGCTGATATAGACACTAGGAGTTATAAAGCCATACCATGTTGGTGTCAATATTAACACTGATATTGTAAGAATTAAATAGACACTATCACATGATTAAATATTTTTTATATCTAAAAGAAATTATATATTAAGTTACCAACATTAATTAGTAGCAATTTAATATAAAATAATATAGCAAATTCTCTAACATTTGCACTACGTTAGATTCGTACATATTAAAAGCTGCAATGCATAAAATTAGCAAAGTTAATTGTGAAAGTAAATAAATAATTTAAATAATTAACTACTTAATTATGATGTTGTCACGTTATTTAAACGAATATATATATATATATATATATTGTATATAATATAAATTTTTTCAAACTTCAATAGGTCTGTGTTTTTCATAGTTGATCAGTTTAGTACGAGTACACTCGTACTTAAAATGAAGTAGATGTATATATATTTGAAGTTTACGAAATGGCGAAAGGGAGCAAAAAAGTTTTACTATGGTAAAGAACATTGCTATTATATGTACAATTGCATGAGAAAAAAATTGATTACGTAAATTGGAAATTTAATAGATATAACTGGAAAGATACACGCACTGAGATAAAAGTGTTTAGTATTTATTATTATAGTTTAGTAAAATACGTATTAAGAGATTCATTTTTATATTTTCAATTTTTATTACTGCTGCAATGTGTGTTAGCAATAATAGTTATATTTACAGTCCTACCAAAAAGATACATACATTGGCACAAAAAATGATTTTAAATTATAATTAATTTATGGTAAAATTTTAATAAAATATTTAACACAGGAGTATAATTAGAGAAGCGGAAAATGTTATTTTCTAAGATTGTATGTAAAATATGGTATATAGGTTTGTATATACAATATACGTGCATTAAGAAAAAAAATTGTTCGTTTGACTAAATTAATTCAGTAGTTTCCATTTTTTTCATTGAAAAATATTATGCATTTCAAATTCGATTGTGTGTAGCATCAACTTATTTGACTTTAAGCGAGGCTTAAAACTCTCTCTCTCTCTCTCTCTCTCTCTCTCTCTCTCTCTCTCTCTCAAGCCGAGAGTTTTAAGTCTTGTTTAAAGTTAAAATGACGAAAATAATCAGGCTTAAGTTAAATATGATATATGTTTGATTTAAATTCTTTATACATTCTTCATTGAAAGAAATATAAATACCAAATTAATTTAGTTATATGAACAATTTTGTTTATCAGTATGCCTGTGTCTGTATTTTATCTTAAACAGTTAAACAGTGATTTTCGTTTATTTTAAAGTTTCTAAGTTTGGTTAATTTTCGGGAATGCGATTGTATTCAACGTGCGGTAGCATCGACAGTAATTTATCGGAAACGATTCATGATGAGTGTCGCTCTGCAATAATAAATAAAGCGATTAAAATCGTGCACACATATGCACAACACATGTACGTAGAATGCATCAAAGGCACGTGCGTGGTGCGGCTATTAATTGCTGATTACGAACTCGAAACAACATCGCGTTTTCGAGCGAACGGCAGGACGGAAGGCGCCAACATTTTGCGCATTTCTGCTTTTAACTGTTATCAATTTAATACAATGCAGCATTTTTCATGCGCCTGTCATGTAAAATTACGTAGTTCTGTATTTGTAGCTGCATGGAAAAGTTTTTAAATATTTTGTTGAAATATTTAAAAATTTGGCTGGATACAGGTCTGAAAATGAATATGTTTAAATATACAGTTTAATTATATTAAACGTTCAAGTTAGTTATTAGAATATTCAAAACTGTTTGTAGCACTACATCATGCTTGAGCATCCTATATGTAATTACTTTGATAGTCCAACATAATTATTTTCAGATCTAATATCTAGCTAAACTTTAGATACTTCAGCGAAGTAGCTCTTTCCATGTGAATTAGTACGTACGTATATATTCTCTACTTAAAGTGAAATAGAGATTTAAAATTTGGCGGAAAAATGAGAAAAAAAATTCTATTATAGTACAGTCTGCAAAAATAAAAAAATTTATTATTAGCAATTCAATAAAAATAACTAGGTCAACTAAAGGTGTCTTACACTATGAGAGAAAAATTTTTGGTACTTGTAACTGTGATTACGTATTACTATAATGATTATTACTTTCTCTCTCTCTCTCTCTCTCTCTCTCTCTCTCTCTCTCTCTCTCTACTCTCTCTCTCTCTGTTATAATGTTAACAATATAGAAACTATATATGTCTAATTATTTATAAACATAGTTAGCAACTATAAATTATACATGGTTATTATTACCACAAAAATTACAATTATTATTATTTAAATATAATTTATGGGGTTATTTATTGAGACGTTTATAAAACCTGAAAATTATTGTGCTGAGAGAAAAGATTTTGTTATTTGTGTCTATAATTACACATTATTATAAAATATAGTTGGTTCAAAAATGACTATAATTTGTAGTTAGATTAGTAACTACAAATACAATCATTTTTAAGATAATAAATATAATTATAATCTTTTTGGGTTATCAATTATATATATTTGTTAATAGAACTATTAGTTCTATTAAGTATAAAAAAAGTTATTATTAACATTATAGTAATACAATTATTTATATCGACATATTCTCTATTTATTTTTAGATCTATATCTAGCTACATTTTTTAATATTTCAACAAAAATTTAAAAATTTCTTCTGCGTGCAGCTATAAAAACTGATTTAATCACTTGAAATATCTCCGTTGCTTGTACCGGTGCCAAAAAAATAAGTAAGAAGTAAAAAAAAGTTATTTGACTCGGAGGAATAAATATCTTGGTTCACAAGATTTCAGTCTAAACTTAAAACTTATAAAATTTTCCAATTTTATTAATGTATTTGAGTATAAGTTTTTTCACATAAATTAATTCTCCATGTCGTTTTTACATAAAGAATATCCAGACGGCTTACCGGAGAAATCAATACTTTACAAGATGTTTCATATTTTGCGTGCCGATATATATTCCAACACGAAACACGATCTTGTGTGTGGTATTCGCTTTTCAAGCGATCAAGTTGTATGAAACTTCTCGCACGCGCGCGTGCAAGAAACTCGGTATTTCGAGCTTTACCTCCGTGATAACGTTAAAGCGCGATTTCCATTTTCGTTGGTTATTTCGTTCGCTCGACTCGACGGAATATTCCGTTTCCGATTCCATAAATGCGTTCTCGCATCGATCGAAATTATCGCACGGTGGGTGCGGCATGTGTATGCATTTGTGTGCGCTCTTCCTTCAAAATTTATGATAAGCTCACGATGATAGGCTCGCGCGATGATCCATTCGTCCCGATCGCGATTCAGCATTGCGTGAAAAATCGCATGGAAAGCAAACGAGGCCGCTCCCCGAGAGTCCGTAATGACGGATCGCTTTTTGCGAGAGAGCCTCTCGCGATCTCCTTCCAATCGGGCCGCGCGATGCAGCTGCGGCGAACCGACGACTTCGTCTCGTAGTCCTCGACACACGAAGTAGCGGCTGCATGCGACGAACTCGATCGCGATCTCTTCACGCTGTCGTAAAAAAAGAAAATAACGCAAAAAATAAACGCGAACACCCGTTGCGAGGGGAGTCAACCGCGTTTCGGAGTAGGTAATTACCTGCCCAGTGTCTGTACAACCCAAGGTACAACCGTTCTCGTGGTATATTACTACATATATATACATATAACGCGCGGATATGCACGCTCGGTTTTGTCGTGTTATTCCCGTACAGGAAAAAATCTAGTTGCATAATTATCTAGTAGATATTTCAATCAGAAGATCAGATACTTCATCTATATAGTGAAGATTTTATTTAGAATTCTTCATATATTTTTTCAACATTTCTGTATAATTTTATAACTTCTTAGAAAATTTCTTTAATTTTCTTATAGAAATTGGAACACTTTTTTGGGAAAAGAAATTCTACACATTTTCTAGAATTTATCAAGTATGTGAATTTTGAAATATTCTAAAATTTTTCGTCCTGCAATATCTATGAAAAACTTATTTTTTTAATAGATATTGTAAAATCTTAGAATATAGGTATGTTTTCAGAACTCTTCCCACAAAATATGATAAATTTTTAAAAATATTACAAAATATCAGATAATTTTTTTACGATTATACAAAAAGAACAGTTTTGCCGAAGTATATGATATATATATATATATATATATACTAAAAATTTAGATACAAATCTGGAAATAATTGTTATAAATATTAATAGGTTTGAGAAAATTATACATAAAAGGTCATTATTACTAACACCAATAATCATAAAAGTGCAGCTCCTGAAGCTTAATTATTTTACCATACATTTATGGTCGCAAATACCAAACACTTTTCTCTCATGGAAGCTTCCCTCGTACAACCAAAACATTTTTCTCAGTGTACGTGCGATTTGCATGCAGTCGAGGGAAAGTTTCACGCTGACCGTCCTATGGCACCCCGTTTTGCCCTTAATATTTTGTATTACGACACGTCACCGATCAACCGCAACGATAGCCGAGGTTGCCTGCAACAAGAACATTTTCCAATATGCGTGCGTGCGTTCGTGCGTGCGTGCGTGCATGCGCCAGCGTTCGCGATGCCTTTCGTTTCTCGCATAAAACCACGTCAATTCGCTTAATGACGTTAATTCTGCGGATGCCAAGATGTCGTTCAAGAGTGAACGACGAGTCTCGATCGTACGAGGTCAGAGTAGTCGGCCGTTCGCGATTTGATGGAGAGAATCATCGACCAAGATATATCGCGATTGTTACTCGATCTTCGCGCAAATCACCGAGAAAATCCTTAAACAGCAGAAAATGTTTTGTACGATCGTCTATTTATATATGAACCATATTAATTCGCTCGAAAAATTCAGTTAAATTAGCCGTAACTTGATAGCCTTTGAAAACAGGATCAACAATTTATCAAATTCATCTATCTATGAAGCTTGAATTGATTTTATGTTTTTTAATTGAATTTATTATTACGATAATATCTTCGTCTAATATCGCTGTATTGGCCGGTTTCAGGACAAGGTGCAATGGCTGACGACCGAAATAACCACCGGGGCTTCGTCAGGCAGCCGCACGGGGTAAGTGACGTTTTTTGCCACGTTAATCGCCAAATAGATTGAGTCGCCGATTAGCGTGCCCTCGCGCACTCGGTCCTCGGCGCAACACGCGGAATTTGCGTAATTTTAGAAAAGCTGTGGAGCCGAACGAAGAGCGAGGCGAACGGGAGTTATATCTCGCGGTCGTCGAATCGACCACGTGGCCGCACCTTCGATCGTCCCTCCTGCGAGAGCGTGAATTTTTAGATCGCCGTCCGGAATGCACTCCACGCTCTGACATTGACCGCACTGCCGCCGCACTCATCTCGCGAGAGCAGCGGCTCTCATTTTCCATTCTGATCATGGATGGATTTCCTCCGTGAAACTCTCTCCGTCGGACAAGAGAGACAAACGAGATAATTCATTTTCCGAGGTTTGCGGTTTTACGTCAATGAAGCTTGGTCCATCGAGAAACGAAAGCAGTATATAGGATCATCATTATGTAATTTGTCGCGAATCGCTGACGTCTGTCATCGAAATGTTTCGAAACTCGCGCTGCGGATACATTTCAGAAACTCGATGAGCCACGTAAACCACAGTTTGACGGCTACTTATCATTTTGTTAGCTAAACGCTCTTCGCTTGAAGAAATAAATCACGATACACGATCGTACCGAGAATCCTGCGAGAAGATTTTTTGGTAAACCATCCTAAGAGAGAGAGAGAGAGAGAGAGAGAGAGAGAGAGAGAGAGAGAGAGAGAGAGAAACATACTACTATTTTTTTTTATTGAGCACTTTAAGAAAAAAAAGCATTCTCTCATCAAAATCGCTAATCAAAATACGATTAAAAGTCTAATACGATTAGAAAGTAAATTTTACTATTTTTTTATTATTTGGTTAACCAAATTAACAATAAAATAAAATAATAATATTGATTGAAAAGCAAAGGAGAGTGACGAAAGATACTTTCGTCATCATACGAGTAATAGAAACCAAATAATACATAACCAAATAGTACATAAGCATAAGTACAAAATAAAAAGAAGACACATAATAATAACAACAATGATAACAAGCCAAAAACAAATTCATGTGGCGTTGTAATTTAAAGTAGTCACATAATTTACATTTAAAGATACCTAAAGAGATAGCGTTATGAATGTCAAGTGGGATATCATTCCAGAGAACTCATAGAGAGAGTGAGAGAGAGAGAGAGAGAGAGAGGAGGGAGAGGGAGGGGGGGAGAGGTAAACGTGCGCGCGATAGCAGTTTGCGTAAATAAGCAGCTTAAAAATAGTTCACCGAGTGTGTTATATCGGAGAGCAAATAAAGCCTACCCGGCTTTAAAGTCATAGAGCACGAAAATTTCCCTGAAAACACTCACATCTCTCTGCTCTCGTTCGTTTACCGGGACGCGAAAAATCTTCCGAGGCGTACTTTTGCGAAGGTGTCGTCGCGTCACTTTAGCGGGACACATAAATAAATAAATTTACGTTCGCCACTTGACAAAAAAGACACTTACATTTGTAAGAGATTCTTCATCGAGAAATTTTTTTTTAGTTTCACATGACGCTCTCCCTACATACTGCATTTGTCGGAGAAAGTGGTGCGTTAATAATATAAAGCTGACAGTATAAATGTATGTAGAATTAATGGTATGTAGAATAAATTGTTTTATAGTTATTGCAACTATAAAATATACAGTTTTTATTTTTGAGGAAGATATTTATATACAATTTTGAGCTAATAAAAAACCGCAGAACTTCGTGAACAACGTAATCTTAATCTAAAATAATATTAATCCTATGTTAATACATGTCAAATTTGTATAGTTTTCACCTCTATAGTTGCTGTTTTTTTTTCCTAAGTATGTACCTATGTAATTATTTCGTGTGTTTTTATTTTATAGTAACTGGTAGCAAGTATAGCGCAATTACTTATATTGTTCCATGTTTGCATCTTACAGATAATCTTCTTCAAAGCGCTCACTTAAGTTTGTCTCGCATTGACCCATGGCATAATCACGCAGAACGTACCATTATGCTCGCTCTTTCGCCACAATGCTCGCTCATCGATTACTTCTCCGATTAGTCCATCGTGTGCGCCTGAAGATTCACTTACGATGACGCAAATCCGGCCGACATGTCGGAGAGCATCGTGCGTGGTCTCATTGAAAAAAAAAGAGAGGGAAAACGGGCGATGTCTTCGAGAAAAAGAAGACATTTGGACGTAAAGGGCAATCACAACGATCGCGTCCAAAGTTAATGAGATCTACACTCTAAATTTCTTGCAGTGAAATCTCATTCCAAGAGAGTGAAAATATAATACACCCACCCTTGAACAAAAGTGAAATTATTTCAATACAAAATTTATTTCAAATATATACAAAAATATTTTACTTTTTGAAAAAGAGAGTTAAAATTTACTCTAAGACGAGTGAAAAATTGTCACTCTTTTTCAAGAAGTGAAATGTTTTTATACATTTTTTTCAAGGGTGATTGTGTTTTTACTCTCTTGGAGTGAGATTTCACTTTAAAAAATTTAGAGTGTAATCGAGTGCTGGAAATCCTTTGAATTACAGAACGAGGATGACTCGCGTTATTTTCGTAGGGCACGCTAAATTCGTAAAATCGTGAAGTGTTGCGCAATCGCATGACGTTTATAACACTTACGACTAAATTACGGTTAAATTATTATTAAATCGCAACGTCGTCTCGAGTACCGGCTCATCACGGTATAGGACGAGGAGCGAGGCTCTTGGCGCAGCAATTCGCGAGCGTGTTCTCGTTCAGAAGTCACGATCTCTAGTGAAAAGAGGAGACATACGTAAGAGGCATTCTTCAGACTCCTGAGATCGTCACGCAACGCTAATTAATCAATTGTTGCTACTCCATTCTCGTATCTCTAATTTGATTCTGGCCATGCCTTTGCTTTGACCACGCTTTCTGTGTCTTCCCCTCTGTTTTCTTTTTCAATAAACATTTCGATACAGTTGCGTTCGTTTCATTCCGAGTTTAAAAAAATATAACGTGGTGTGTGCGGCAAAGCTGACAGCGACTCGTGCCGATCGCTAGCATGCGCTTGCGTGCAAAATATTACACGAGTCTGTCGCAACTGCTCGCGAAAGCGCGTCGGCCCGTTGCTGACAATGAATCCTTTTCATCGAAACGAAGCGAGAAACGTTGAAAGTTATCGTTCCGCAATTCGCTTTTAACACAGGGACGACGACGGCTCCCTTCGCGCTTTCGATGCCATCGCGGTTATCAATTCGATCTCGCGAACCTGACGAGTTGCCATCATTTGCGGAGCAAAAGGCATAACGTAACGGTCGACAAAACAAGAAAATTAAGAAGATACATCCTGTAATTTTGCTTCAGTCTTTGACCACATCTCCATCGAGAAACTGATTTCGAAATCGCCTTAACCGCGTATATTAAGAAAAAAAAGAGAAACGTGAAGATTGCGTATTATATGACTTTGGAAAACTTTTGCTCAGAATGTGGATCTGGCTTGGAGTTGAGTTCCTCGATCGAAAGCAAAAGGTTTTATTTTCTCCATACTTAAATTAAACTTTCTTTGAGAGCTTCGAGTTCTTTTTACTTTTATTTCTTCTTATTATTGAGAATAAATAACAGGAATCTTTTGCGTGTTTATTTTCCTATATAAATGGAAAAATGCTTCCTTCGATTTACGATGGAAGTTGTGCTATTTTTAGCAATCGATACATTGCATGTTTCAGCGGCAAAACGAAGGGATCTCGCAGAGATCCATGATCGGAGAATTGATCGACCGGTTTAACTTTCGCAGATGACGAACTTTCGCGTTTTTCGACCGTGAGTGTCGTCTCTGTCTGTGTCACGAATTCGACCGCAACATCCATTAAACTTATCGTTGTGACGCACGCAGGCGCTTTCACGCAAACCATTTTGATTAAGTATTTCGACAAATTTCTTGTTTTCCACATTTTGAAACTTTATGTCAAACTTTACTTTGTACAAATATGTTTTTCTCTTCACTGAACGAGAGGTGGAGATTCATTGGTCTTTTTATATCCGTGTATACCCAACGCCAATGGCAGATCATTTGAAATATGTCGGAGCTTTATTTCATGGAAAGATTATATAGATTATGTGTTCAAAATTAAAGTAGAGTAAGAAATATAAAAATATTTTAATATGCGACTAAATATATATATCATGTGCGATATTGATGTAGTAGTTAGTAGTATATAATGGTATGTCAATGTCTCGTACCTAAATCGTATGTATTATTTAAATCGCATTTATTTAATCATTAAAATAGCGATCCCATCGGAGTTTGGACGCCAGCACACAAAACAAAATTTAATGTTTGATCCGGAGATTAGACCATGGCATTCTTATGTATAATGTTACAATATTTGCTTCATAAAATAAGTTTTATACTCTGTATTATGTATAAAACAATTTCGGTTTGTTGGACTAGAGATTACATGAACAAACAATGTTGAGTTCTTCGAACTAGGCATAGATACCTAGGATGAAAGATTAGTTAGTTAGAAAATGTGTACGTATATATTGATGCAGTAGTGCATAATGATATCTAAATCCTAAATCAATCCTAAATCAATAAAACAGACAACTTTAGGATCCTCTTAATCCCTAAGCATCATTAGTGATCGTTTGAGAACGTCATGCGCCGTTGGCTCATTAAGGGATAAGGATCAATGAACCATTTACTCATTAAAGAGAAAAAAGTTGAAAGAGCATACTCTACGTTGTTTTAAGAGGAACGGATATCCGTGAAAGAAGAAGAAGAGAAGCTCCAAAGGAGAAAGGACAGAGATAAGACGCGTCAAGTCGAGAGGTCCAGCCGTCGGTCACCGGTGACGGACGGCTCGAAAACGCGCGTGCCGTGGTCGCGGCTATCGCCAACAACTATCGTTGTTTTGTAGGAGGTGACGATAACGATGACGCGACGTCGTCAGGAGGGAGTAATGCGCATCGTGCTCGCGAATTCCCCATGGCTGGGCCGCCGTTGGACGGCAGTTGGTCGCGGCAGTA